AGATTGGAGAGGTGGGCTGGAGTCAGCTTTTGCCCTGTAAAACCGTGGATGAGGATTTTGGACTTTTAAGTGACATAACTGTATGACCATACAAGCTGTGAGCTGGACACTTCCTGTTAGTCACTCAGTCATGTCTGACTCTTTGAGACCCTACAGACTATAGCCCACCAGTCTCCTCTGTCCATAGAACACTGGAGTGGGAAGCCATTCCCTATTCCAAGGGATCTTCCTGACCCAGGGATCGAACCTGGGTCTCTTGCATTATAGGCACATTCTTTACCATCTCAGCCAGCAGGGAAACCACCTAAGACCAGAGTTATTTTGTTGTCTATGGTAACACCGTGCAAATGTGAATAATGTACCGTGGAGTGTGCATCTTGTACAACCAGACCCAGAAACCAAGTAGTCAAGGTGCAATGAGTACAATGGACAGGAGAGGGCAAGAGGCTTTGAGGAGCCCAGTTAGGAACCGGTGTTACCCTACCTGCCCCTTCACACACTCCCTTGTTGAGCTCACCTTTGCCCCTGTCTGCCTCTCTAGCAGTTCCTCCTTAGGCTAACTCCCTAATCTTTGACTTGGGTGGAATTTAAGGAACACTCAACATCAAGCAGTAAGGGGAGGACAGGAATTAGCCCAGAGGACATGGGACTGTATTTGGCAGAAAGTGATTCAGCCTGAACAGGGCGAGGTAGCAGGTCTCAGCTACGGGGCAGGATCCCAGTTAGAGGCTCAGACCTGTGCAGGAACCAACACGGAAGGAGAAAGGGGGCTGCGCTCCAGGCCTGGCGGGTGGTCCCTGAGCCGCTGGTCTATCAGCAAGGAAGCTTGGAGCAGAGTCTGAGCCCAGCAGGGTGGAGCGGGATTGGTGTACAATGGAGACAAGGCCTGGGCAGGAGCAGGCAGGAGGGTTTCCAGGAGTTGATGGAGCCTAAGGAGATTCCCGAGTCCTAGGCCTTCGACTTATGGCCCAATTGGTCTCAATCTTTGCAGTGCTGGGACCTGGGCACACCTGACTATGGCAGTAGCCACAACTGCCAGAGTCCCCAGGCTAAGACCTGGAGCCACTGGAGCCCCCGCCTCCCACTCTGCTGGTCCTGAATGATCCCCATTCCTATTCACCAGACCACTGCTGGAGCCCTGACCTTGTCCCCAAACCCTTCTCTCACAGCAGCTCAGCCTCCCTCTCCCACTTTTGAATCCTAGAGCATTTATTACTTTCTATCCTCTGACATCATTTACTTCATCTGACCTTCTGCACATTTAGGGTTTTTTTTCCCTAATAACTTTTACTATGAAAAATATCACATAAACAGAGTGGCACATAAAAGTGTGGGTTAGATAATAAAAGCTATATATGACAAACCCACAGCAAGCATTACCCTCAATGGTGAAAAATTGAAAGCATTTCCCCTGAAATCAGGAACAAGACAAGGGTGCCCACTCTCACCACTACTATTCAACATAGTTTTGGAAGTGTTGGCCACAGCAGTCAGGGCAGAAAAAGAAGTAAAAGGAATCCAGATAGGACAAGAAGAAGTGAAACTCTCGCTGTTTGCAGATGACATGATCCTCTACATAGAAAACCCTAAAGACTCTACCAGAAAATTACTAGAGCTAATCAACGAATATAGTAAAGTTGCAGGATATACAATAAACACACAGAAATCTCTTGCATTCCTATACACTAACAATGAGAAAACAGAAAGAGAAATTAAGGAAACAGTGCCATTCACCATTGCAACAAAAAGAATAAAATACTTAGGAGTATATCTACCTAAAGAAACAAAAGACCTATACATAGAAAACTATAAATCACTGATGAAAGAAATCAAAGAGGGCACAAACAGATGGAGAAATATACTGTGTTCATGGATTGGAAGAATCAATATTGTCAAAATGGCTATACTACCCAAAGCAATCTATAGATTCAATGCAATCCCTATCAAGCTACCAATGGTATTTTTCACAGAACTAGAACAAATAATTTCACAATTTGTATGGAAATACAAAAAACCTCGAATAGCCAAAGTAATCTTGAGAAAGAAGAATGGAACTGGAGGAATCAACCTGCCTGACTTCAGACTATACTACAAAGCCACAGTCATCAAGACAGTATGGTATTGGCACAAAGACAGAAATATAGGTCAATGGAACAGAATAGAAAGCCCAGAGATAAATCCACGAACCTATGGTCACCTTATCTTTGACAAAGGAGGCAAGGATATAAAATGGAAAAAAGACAACCTCTTTAACAAGTGGTGCTGGGAAAACTGGTCAACCACCTGTAAAAGAATGAAACTAGAACACTTTCTAACACCATACACAAAAATAAACTCAAAATGGATTAAAGATCTAAATGTAAGACCAGAAACTATAAAACTCCTAGAGGAGAACATAGGCAAAACACTCTCTGACATAAATCACAGCAGGATCCTCTATGACCCACATCCCAGAATATTAGAAACAAAAACAAAAAATAAACAAATGGGACCTAATGAAACTTAAAAGCTTTTGCACAACAAAGGAAACTATAAGCAAGGTGAAAAGACAGCCCTCAGATTGGGAGAAAATAATAGCAAACGAAGCAACAGACAAAGGATTAATCTCAAAAACATATAAGCAACTCCTCCAGCTCAACTCCAGAAAAATAAATGACCCAATCAAAAAATGGGCCAAAGAACTAAACAGACATTTCTTCAAAGAAGACATACAGATGGCTAAAAAACACATGAAAAGATGCTCAACATCACTCATTATCAGAGAAATGCAAATCAAAACCACAATGAGGTACCATTACACGCCAGTCAGGATGGCTGCTATCCAAAAGTCTACAAGCAATAAATGCTGGAGAGGGTGTGGAGAAAAGGGAACCCTCTTAAACTGTTGTGTGGGAATGCAAACTAGTACAGCCGCTATGGAGAACAGTGTGGAGATTTCTTAAAAAACTGGAACTAGGACTGCCATATGACCCAGCAATCCCACTTCTGGGCATACACACCGAGGAAACCAGATCTGAAAGAGACACGTGCACCCCAATGTTCATCACAGCACTGTTTATAGTAGCCAGGACATGGAAGCAACCTAGATGCCCATCAGCAGATGAATGGATAAGGAAGCTGTGGTACATACACACCATGGAATATTACTCAGCCACTAAAAAGAATTCATTTGAATCAGTTCTAATGAGATGGATGAAACTGGAGCCCATTATACAGAGTGAAGTTAGCCAGAAAGATAAAGACCATTACAGTATACTAACACATATATATGGAATTTAGAAAGATGGTAATGATAACGCTATATGCAAAACAGAAAAAGAGACACAGATGAATAGAACAGACTTTTGGACTCTGTGGGAGAAGGCGAGGGTGGGATGTTTCAAGAGAACAGCATCGAAACATGTATATTATCTATGGTGAAACAGATCACCAGCCCAGGTTGGGTGCATGAGACAAGTGCTCGGGCCTGGTGCACTGGGAAGACCCAGAGGGATCGGGTGGAGAGGGAGGTGGGAGGGGGGATCGGGATGGGGAATATATGTATATCCATGGCTGATTCATGTCAATGTATGACAAAAACCACTACAATAATGTAAAGTAATTAGCCTCCAACTAATAATAAAAAAAAAAAGTGTGGGTTAGTGGCATATTCCACAAGCCACCTGTAACTAGCATCCAGTTCAAGGGAAACAGCCACCCCAGCTCCTGAAGTTTCCCTCCACTTGCCCTTTTTGGCCTTACATACTCCTCAACCCCAACTCTCCCACCTTGTATAATCATCAGGCTTTTACCTTTTTCTTTTTTTAACTTTTCCTTATAATTACAGTCTGTAAGTCTATATGGGCTTCCCAGGTGGCTCAGTGGGTAAAGAATCCACCTGCAGTGCAGGAGACACAAGAGACACAGGTTTGATCCCCAGGTCAGGAAGGTTCCCTAGAGGAGGGCATAGCAATACCTACTCCAGCATTTTGCCTCAACAATTCCATGGACAGAGGAGCCTGGCAGACTTCAGTCCATAGGGTCACAAAGAGTTGGACACAACTGAAGCGACTGAGCACGCACAAGCATGTAGCCCTATAGTAGGCAAAGAGGCCCTTTCTTTATGTTTTCTCTATGCTGGTTCTTCAGGGAAGGCTCTCCAGCAGGGTCATGAGTGCAGAGGGGCCAGAGCAGAGCCTCGTGGAGGGAAGGTGGAGGAGCCAGCGTCAGCAGACGGTTAGCAAGGCAGCCAGAGAAAGTGACCAGTGAAGAGAGGAACAGAGGGAAGGGACAGGGGAAGTGAGGATGGGAGGAAATGGTTGCATGAAAGCTCAGGACCTGCAGTGGAGTTCTCCTGATAGTAGAGTCCAGCTCCCCACTCAAACCCGGCCACCTTGCTCTGTCCTTAACCTTTCAGATGACACCTATCTACCCAGTATTCCCTGCCAGGCGGGCTCCTATGCCATCTAGGGGCCCGCCCTCCCTTCTTAAAGGAGAGGTGGCTTAGTCCTAAGCCACCTCCTCGTCTCCCACTGTAGCCCCAGGCTGTCCCCTCCTTTCCACCACTCACAGCTGGCTCTGTGGTGCAGGGTAAAGGCAGAAGGGCCCCCAGACACAGGTGAGACCAGGGGATAGAGTTGGGTCAGGGTCCTCGCACCTGAGATGCTGATTCCAGGGCAAAGGCTGCGTGTCCTGGGGCCCACAGTCTCTCAGTGAGAGGTGCAACACCCACACCCCAGCACCTCTGCCCCTCACTGCCCCCTGCTCTGAAGTCTTGCTGCACAGCCCTCCCATCATCCTTCAACACCCACCTGCCCCTGGTCATCTTGTGGGGATGCTCTTCTGTCCCAGCAGGACGGGGAGCTGGCTTTTCAGGAGCACACAGTGACGTCCTGTGGGAGAGAGCACACCCCTTCCCTGGGACATGCTGGGCACCCGTGGTGGGTGGCGGGAGGAAGGGGACAACCACTGCTAATTCGGACGCCACTGAAAATGTGTTTTTTGTTCTGTATCCTATACAGACATCGTCAACTGTGACCTGAAATCTACGCTTCGAGTGCTGTACAACCTCTTCACCAAGTACCGGAATGTGGAGTGAGCATCAGACTGGACCGTCCCCAGAGCCGCCTTATCCTGCTTATTCCTGTCTCCTGCTCTGCGCTCTCCTCCAAGTCCGGCTGCTCTTTTCCCAGAGTTACGGGGAACTGAGATCAGGAAGGAAATCACCAGTGACTCAGTGGGCTGACCTAACCTCCTAGGCACTGAGGGTGACCCCACAATGGCTTGTGAAGGTTGTCCCAACCTGGTTCCAGGTCCAGATTTCCTTCTGTGTAATCTGGAACCGGCTTAGGCACAAGAGCCCACCCACCCACTCACCCACCCTCAGAAAATGAAAACAGAGATAAGAGTTACCATTTAATGGGTGTAACCTATGGGCTGGGCACCACACTAAGTGCTCTGACCTACTCCAATTTGTGAATACTCACGACTCCCACTGAAGATGATGTTATCAGCCCCTTTTACAGATAAGGAAACAGGCTCAGAGAGGTTACCTGACTTCCCAGAAGCTGCTATTTGTTTTGCTTCTTTGAAGAACATATTCGTTAATAACTAGCCCATTATGTTACATTCTCTGTACATTCTATACTTGCATTTGCATGTGTGTATATGCGTGCATGTGCACCTGTGCCCTCCAAGAAGATAGGACCCCCTGATCTCAGCACCAGGCAGGCTAAGTCAGGACTCAGTGGTTCACACTGAAATTGGCAAATCAAATTTAGCCCAATTAATAGTGTGTGTGTGGCAGGAGCCGTATCCCTCAACTCCTTTGTACAAATGAAAATTACTCTTAATTCCTTCAGATTTGTAATAGCCCCTTATTCTGGTTTCAGGGTGACATTTGGAAAGGATTCTGTTTAAAATTAATGGAGTGGCACATTTTGCAGCCTTTTTGCCTGATTGCATGTAATGGAAGTGCCCTATATTTTCCTACAAAATAAGTAAGTCCTCGATTCATTATCGTTAGGCAAATGTACAATATACCCAGGCACCGCAGAGAGCTGGGCACAGGCCCATGCGAGCAGGGCTTGGGAAGTAGGGCTCTTCAACAGGGACTCTTGAGCTTTAAAGAAAGGAACTCCTTTTTGCCCTCTAATTGATCATTTAGACCATTTCTGGCAAAGTCTACCCACATGCAATTACTGGCTAATTCAGGCAAGCAAAAATGTAAGTTATTTAGACCCAATCTGAGTAGATTTCCTTGCGTGGGTTACCCGTGGGCTTGTGGTTACATGGATCCCCTCTACATGAACCCAAGTTTGGAATACAGGGCTCAAGTTGTCCCAGCCTGCAGGGCCTGGGATAGAAAAGGGGCTGAAGGGGGGTGACTAGGAGGACAAGAAGCGTGGGGCAAATACTTACACACTTAGCATATGGGGACATCCTCAGCCCATGGGATGTTAGCTTGTGGTATTTAACATTTGTACTCTAAGTTGACCAAAGCCTTGGGATAGGTAATAACTTGTACTGATGTATCTTCATTATAGAATTTTCCAAAGTATGCTAGGTAGACACCAGCCTGTATCCCCACCTCTGGATGTCTGTGCCTACTTTAGTACTACTTTAGGCCCAGTTGCACAAAGCCCCTCTCTGATTTGAGGAATTCGTCATGATCTCTATCTGCACCACCCAGAGGGAGGCCTTCCATCGTGTCCAAACATTCCTTCCTGCTTTTCATCAATTCTTACTCTACAGTCTCGCTGCAGTCACTCAAAACCCATATAATTTCAATATACTACTTAATTCTGGAGAGATTTCACTCTAAGAAAGAAGTATTACTCAGCATTTAAGATACAGAGAATATGCACTCTCTTGTGTCAATCTTTGTAAAAGAATACAATCCTTTTTTACATAATTAGTGAAATATTTCATTTGTCATTAGGAAACACTAAATACAGTATTATTTCTGTTGCTCTTTTTTAAATTCCTGATAGCAAATCAGCATAAATAATTGCTTTTTCTCCTTGAGCAATACTAAAGCAGATGAAATAAGAGAAATGAACTCATTTAAATGTGCTTTGCTATACAAATATTGTCTCCATTTTGTGTTTTTTTCTTATATTCAAGCTGCAAATGGACAGTGGGCAAGTGACTTATTAAGAGCACTCCTTTTTATATTTTACATATGCACTATATGAAAACACATCAGAACACTTGGAAATTTTTTTAATACCAGGTCCAATTTGTCAGAAAATGGTGTTTTGAGACCAAGGTCTTTACCTTACTCTGAAATTCCAGGGCTTGGGCCTGGTTTTATAACCCTGCCATCTCATTTAGAGGTTTTTCTTTACATTATGGAACCTCCTGCTTAATACATAACTGTTTTTTTTGGGGGGTGGGTAAAAAGCATCAGAAAACAAATAAACCAAATGTAACCCTTGTCTCTTTTAAAAGAAAAAAAAAAGCTGGGGCAAAAATCAAATCTCTGTAGGCTCACTGGATCCTTTTTTCCTCTTTTCTAAATTTAGATTCTTTCATATTTTTGATAATTAATGTGTAAATTGTGCAAAATTCAAAAAGCATGAATGGATATCTAGTGAAAAACCCAGTCTTCTTCCCTCCTTTTTCCCAGCAGACAATACCTGTCTCCAGAGGCAACTATTTTGTTCTGTTTCTAGTATTAGCTTCCAGATACCCCAACAATATAAGGTATATAAATATCTGTCAACATATATAAGACCATTTTTAAGCATAAATAGCATATTATACATACTATCATGCACACTGCTTTTTTTCATTTAATGTTCTTAGAGATTATTTTGTACTGGGTATTAAAACTCATTAAACTGAGACTATGAGTACTTTATAAATCCAGATGCACGTCCCTGCTCTGTATGAGCCAGAAAATGAAAGCCCTACCAAAAGGAGGTAATGTTCTAAACAGTTAAGACTGGGACCTACTGGGGTGGGGGATAGAGAGGACATTACCAGAAACATTCCCCTGTGTCCTCAACTGAATTTATTTCTTAAAGGCCTCCTTTGGATCATTATGGTGAATGGTGTACAGTTTGATTAAGCTTGTAGTTGTACATATTACTAGGGCTACTAATTTGTGATTGACTCAGAAAATACTAAAAGTTACTGAGTACCCCACAGTATCCTGCTACAAGCCCAGCCACCCATGCAGAGCCCGTCTACTCCATGGGAAGGCTCCAATTTCACATGTGCAGGCACAGACCTGACATTTCCAAAGTCTGGGAGAAGGACTCTTTATCAGCACATCATCAATGTTGTCTTGAGTTGGTTGCTATTTGCCATTGCTGCTCTTGGTACTTTTTAATTATGAATTACAGTTAGCTTAGCTTTATCATTATCAGATTATTTTGTTGTGGTTTTCCTGGTTAACCCAACAGAGTACACTGAAGCTTATTTGCATCAACAGTATCCCTGGGCTGTAATTTTCCAATAACTTGACTCTCAGACATATATACATTGTGGTTCAAATATGAATCATCCATACTCCAGTGCTAGAACAAATGTATACATAATCCACTCCCCCTAAATTATCATTAATTTATTTTTCCACTGGAAAATGAGACTAGATGGAGTCGGTAAGTCAAGCAGTTTTGCCCTAAGTAGGGGCTGATCAAAAATAATTTCAGATCCACTGCACTTAATTACAACCCCACCTCAAGAACCCTACCTACATACAACATACTAAAGATGCCAAAAGGGTGTGTTCTGAAGCCTCCACTAATGCTAATATTGCATGCAATCTCCACCCCTGCCCAAAATTCACTTATATCCGTTGGAAAATTCAAGAGTTGCTGCGAATACTGAGAACAAGAAAACTGAATTGACATGCAATTACTGGGTGGTTGGTAGACTCATCAGCTTCCTAACACTTGTAAATTCAGGTTCCAGTAAAAGACGAGTAATGTAGGAGTTGCTCACTGTTATAACTGCAAAGATTCCATCTGCACACAGAGAATTTTCACTGTTTTTTCCTCTCTCTTTCCTAAAAAATATAAACCCAGGTTAGCTACAAGATTTGCTCATGCCCAATGCTTTGCTCCTTTAGTGTTTGCACATGTGTTCATGACGACAGCCAGGCACCACGAGGGTGCTCAATGGAGGATGCCCAGTCCCCACCCCAAGCTCGACCGTCTTTTGAGATTTGCAGATTTCCCAGGCAGGAAGCACCAGTGAAGCATCTCTGAAAAGTACATTCTGTAGGAAGTTAATAAATGTGAGGTGAAAAATATGTCACCCTTGAGTTGAGAAAACAAGAGGCCAAAGAAAATTAAACTCCCTTTCTACAGTTTGGGTTTTATTTTATGCTTTTTTTTTCTTCATTGAAGCCCGACTCAGTGTTCCCTGCACTAATGAAGATTATGACTCTGTAATGGGAGACAGAAGAGGGCATCCCAATCGTGCTTGACCACGGGACCTATTTGGTCCCTGAAGTATTTGCAGGCTGAGTACTCTGTGAAACTCATCCATTCATTTAACCCTTAGGCCATATGGTCTAGAAGTATGTATTGAGTGTCCACAATGCATTAGGTGAACTGTGACCAGTGGCCAGCAAGGCTCACTCATAGAGCTTAAAAATAATCACAAATTAAAGGTACTGACAAATTGAGATGACCTCTTGGAGAAGTACATAAAACTCTGAAGGAGGTCTCATTTAGATTTTGAGGTCAAGAGAGGTCTCTGGCAAAGTAATATTTTAAACTGACACCTGAGGGAGTTTCCTGGTGATCCAAAGGTTAAGAATCCACCCTGCAAAGCAAGGAACACAGGTTGGATCCCTGGCCGGGGAAAAAAGATCCCACATGCCAAGAAGCAGCTAAGCCTGTGTGCCAGAGCTACTGAGCCCACGAGCTACAACTAGAGTCCGTGCACCGAACAAAAGATCCCACATGATGCAACGGAGATCTGACACAGCCAAATAAAAAAACAATTTTTTTTTAAAAAGAAAGACATTCTAAATTAAATAAATTAAAAAAAGAAAACAAGGAAGACATTCTAATAAATAAATAAAAATTAAGTGACACCTGAATCACTGAGCTATTCAAGTAAAGAACTATTAAGAACAGG